TTGGGGTAACTGCTTCAATCTTTCCGTCAACGTCTTTCTTAGGGATTTCCTCCTTGGTTATTTTTTCTTCTTTCTTAGGAACTTCTTCCTTTGTGATCTTTTCTTCAACGTCTTTCTCGGGAACTTCCTCCGCTGTGACCTTTTCCTCTTCTTTCTTAGGAACTTCCTCCTTTGTGATCTTTTCGTCAACTTCCTTTGTGATCTTTTCTTTAACGTCTTTCTTAGGAACTTCTTCCTTTGTGATCTTTTCTTCAATTTCTTCCTTTGCGATCATTTCTTCAACTTCTTCCTTTGTGATCTTTTCGTCAACTTCTTTCTTAGGAACTTCTTCCTTTGTGATCTTTTCGTCAACTTCTTTCTTAGGAACTTCTTCCTTTGTGATCTTTTCGTCAACTTCTTTCTTAGGAACTTCTTCCTTTGTGATCTTTTCGTCAACTTCTTTCTTAGGAACTTCTTCCTTTGTGATCTTAGGAACTTCTTCTTGTGATCTTTTCGTCAACTTCTTTCTTAGGAACTTCTTCCTTTGTGATCTTTTCTTCAATTTCTTCCTTTGTGATCATTTCTTCAACTTCTTTCTTGGGAACTTCTTCCTTTGTGATCTTTTCGTCAACTTCTTTCTTAGGAACTTCTTCCTTTGTGATCTTTTCGTCAACTTCTTTCTTAGGAACTTCTTCCTTTGTGATCTTTTCGTCAACTTCTTTCTTAGGAACTTCTTCCTTTGTGATCTTTTCTTCAATTTCTTCCTTTGTGATCATTTCTTCAACTTCTTTCTTGGGAACTTCTTCCTTTGTGATCTTTTCTTCAATTTCTTCCTTTGTGACAACTTCTTTCTTGGGAACTTCTTCCTTTGTGATCTTTTCGTCAACTTCTTTCTTAGGAACTTCTTCCTTTGTGATCTTTTCGTCAACTTCTTTCTTAGGAACTTCTTCCTTTGTGATCTTTTCGTCAACTTCTTTCTTGGGAACTTCCTCCTTTGTGACCTTTTCTTCAACCTCTTCCTTTGAGATAACTTCTTCTTTCTTAGGAACCTCCTTCTTTGTGATTTCTTCTTTTACTGAAACTTCTTCCTTTGTGATCTGTTCAACTTCAAAATCTTTCTCTGTAATTTCTTTTACAACCTCTTCTTCTACGACTTGTTTGGCAACAATATCTTTGTCTATAAATTCTTTGCTCTCTTCCTTCATTGCAAGTTCTTTTGTGACCTTCACTTCTTCTAGAATTTCTTGCATTGCGTCTTTCTTTACGACGTCTTCCTTTGTGATTTTCACTTCTGCACTTGTTTTTAATTCCTCTTGCTCTGTGATGTCCTTCTTAATGATGTCTTCCTTTGTAATTTCTTCCAGCTCTTTCTCTTCCTTTGTGACTTCTTTCGTAATCTTTTCTTCTTTTGCAACTGTTTCAATCTCCTCCTTCGACACGATATCGCGAACCGTGATATCCTCAAGAACTTCTTCCTCCTTCGTGATCTTCTCTTCTAGTTTGTCTTTAGCAACTGCCTCCTCCTTCTTCATCACTTCTTCCTCCTTTGTGATCTTCTCTTCAAGAGTATCTTTAGTTACTACTTCCTCCTCCTTCGTGATCTTCTCTTCTTCTTTAGTTACTTCCTCCTTCGTGATCTTCTCTTCTAGTTTGTCTTTAGCAACTGCCTCCTCCTTCTTCATCACTTCTTCCTCCTTTGTGATCTTCTCTTCAAGAGTATCTTTAGTTACTACTTCCTCCTCCTTCGTGATCTTCTCTTCTTCTTTAGTTACTTCCTCCTTCGTGATCTTCTCTTCAAGTTTGTCTTTAGTTACTACTTCCTCCTCCTTCGTGATCTTCTCTTCAAGTTTGTCTTTAGTTACTACTTCCTCCTCCTTCGTGATCTTCTCTTCTTTAGTTACTGCTTCCTCCTCCTTAGTTACTTCCTCCTTCGTGATTTTCTCTTCTAGTTTGTCTTTAGTTACTGCTTCCTCCTTCATTACTTCTTCCTCCTTCGTGATTTTCTCTTCTAGTTTATCTTTAGTTACTGCTTCCTCCTCCTTAGTTACTTCCTCCTTCGTGATCTTCTCTTCTAGTTTGTCTTTAGTTACTGCTTCCTCCTCCTTCGTGATCTTCTCTTCTAGTTTGTCTTTAGTTACTGCTTCCTCCTCCTTCGTGATCTTCTCTTCTTTAGTTACTGCTTCCTCCTTCTTCATTACTTCTTCCTCCTTCGTGATTTTCTCTTCTAGTTTGTCTTTAGTTACTGCTTCCTCCTCCTTCGTGATCTTCTCTTCTTTAGTTACTGCTTCCTCCTTCTTCATTACTTCCTCCTCCTTCGTGATCTTCTCTTCTTTAGTTACTGCTTCCTCCTTCTTCATTACTTCTTCCTCCTTCGTGATTTTCTCTTCTAGTTTGTCTTTAGTTACTACTTCCTCCTCCTTAGTTACTTCCTCCTTCGTGATCTTCTCTTCAATTTTATCTTTAGTGACTACTTCCTCCTTCACTACTTCTTCCTCCTTCGTGATTTTCTCTTCTAGTTTGTCTTTAGTTACTACTTCCTCCTCCTTAGTTACTTCCTCCTTCGTGATCTTCTCTTCAATTTTATCTTTAGTGACTACTTCCTCCTTCACTACTTCTTCCTCCTTCGTGATTTTCTCTTCTAGTTTGTCTTTAGTTACTACTTCCTCCTTCATTACTTCTTCCTCCTTCGTGATCTTCTCTTCTAGTTTGTCTTTAGTTACTACTTCCTCCTTCATTACTTCTTCCTCCTTCGTGATCTTCTCTTCTAGTTTGTCTTTAGTGACTACTTCCTCCTTCATTACTTCTTCCTCCTTCGTGATCTTCTCTTCTAGTTTGTCTTTAGTTACTGCTTCCTCCTCCTCAGTTACTTCCTCCTTCGTGATCTTCTCTTCAAGTTTGTCTTTAGTTACTACTTCCTCCTCCTTCGTGATCTTCTCTTCTTTAGTTACTGCTTCCTCCTTCTTCATTACTTCTTCCTCCTTCGTGATCTTCTCTTCAAGTTTGTCTTTAGTTACTACTTCCTCCTCCTTCGTGATCTTCTCTTCTTCTTTAATTACTTCCTCCTTCGTGATCTTCTCTTCTAGTTTGTCTTTAGCAACTGCCTCCTCCTTCTTCATTACTTCTTCCTCCTTCGTGATCTTTTCTTCCAGTATGTCTTTAGCTTCTGCCTCCTTCTTAGTTACTTCCTCCTTCGTGATCTTCTCTTCTAGTTTTTCTTTAGCTACTACCTCCTCCATTTTTACTTCTTCCTTTGTAATTTTTTCCGCCTCGAATATTTCTTTTTGTAAGGTCTTTTCCTTTTCTTCTCGCATTTCTTCCACGACCACTTTCTCTTTCAGAAGGGTGTCTTCGGGGGAAATTTTCTTTGCTTCTAGGATTTCTTCTGAAACAGGTTTTCCCTTCTTTAGAATATCCTCTGTTATGAACTCCTCCTTTTCGACGAGTTCTTCGGTGATCAGTTTCTTAGCTTTGTAAGCTTCTTTCTTGTCAAGTTCAGTTACTTCTTCGGTAGTAATAATTTCCTCTTTCTCCACTCGCTTTCTCACTTCATCTTTCTCCATCATTTCGGTAATTTCCTTCTCCTTTACATCCAAGATTTCTTTACTCTCAAATTCAAGTTCATCTATATCCTTTTCGTCTTCCACTCTTCTTTCCTTCTCTGGGATTTTCTCGAAGTCAAGTTCCTCATAAGGTGTCACTGCTTTGACAGGTTTTTTGTCTTTGACGACAGGCATCTCGATTTCTTCAGAAACCTCTGGCGAAGATTCCTTTCCTATAATCACTGTCTTTTCTTCTCTTTCTTCGAGGGTCTGTGCAATGTCCTTCAGTAGTTCTACTTTGTCTACTTTTTTCTTTATTTCTTTTGCTTCAGCAACGACTTCTCCTCTCTGGATGACTTCAGAGACAGCAGTCGCTTTGAACTCTGCATATTTTGCTTCAAAGTCTTCAATAGATTTTGAGACCTTTTCTTCTCTTGAGATTTCATCTTCCTCTTCAAATTCTTTTTCTGGTAGTTTCTTAGCCTCTTTGATTATTTCCCTTTCATGCTTTTCTGCAATTACTTCTTCTTTAATCTGTAACTCTCCCTTAACTTCAAGGAGTGGAGAACCTGCTTCAAGCTCTTGTTCAGCTGGTTTCTCCATTTCGATATCCTCTTCGTAAATGTCATGTTCAATGGACTCGACTTCTTCATGTATGGGTAGATCATCCACTTCATCTGGTGTTTTTATGATCTCACGTGGATGAACAGGTGGCGCAGTTGGTTTGAATATTGCCTCTGGTAGGGAAGTTGGTACAACGACTTCCTCTTTGGGCTTCGGGCTTGGTGCTTTCTGGGGAGCTTCTTGTGGTTCGGCGGAAGGCATGGCGAAACCAGTAAAAAGACCACGGATTGGTTTTTCCTCGTACTTTTCTTTGTATTCTGTGAGCTTTGCGCTGCTTGGTAGAGTTGCATAAACATCTCGGTCTTCAGTCTCAATTTTTTCATAGATATCTTCTGCTTCATGTTTCTCCTCTAGTTTGGCAATATCTTCTATTTCTTTTGTTTCTTCTGTTATCTTGTCTTTCTTTTCTTTCTCTGCTTCGTCCTCTTTCTCTGTGATGCTGACTTTCTCTTCATCCTCCGGACCTTCCTCCTCTTCCTCGCCTACTTCTTTCTCTCGTATTCTCTCTTCTACTTCTTTTTCTTCTACTGCAACCTCTCTTTCTTCAACTTCCTCTTCCTCTTCTTCTTCCTCCTCCTCTTCTTCTTCCTCTTCTTCCTCCTCCTCCTCCTCTTCTTCTTCCTCTTCTTCTATTTCCTCAATTTCTTTCTCCGCTTCTTCTTCTACATGCTCTTCAACTTCTTCGATTATGTCTTCCTTTTCAACATGTTCAACAACACCTTCCTCGTGAAGTATCAAGGAATCTTTTTCTTCTTCCTCTAGCTGTTGCTTGTCAATAATTTGTAGAGTGTCTTCATCTAACTTGATCTCTTGTACTCCTGGAATATTGGCAATATCGGAGATTCGATCCTCTTCGTCTTGGTCAGGGGCAAGCATGAGGTTATCTGTCTCTTTCATGGGTGCAACAATTTCATCTACATCCTCTCGGTCTGCTGCTGCTTCCACAACAGCAACGCCCGAGACGGCTGCAGCTACTACCCCCGCCTTCACAGCTGCACCTGTAATAACTCTCTTAATTGGTCCCTCAGTTTTCGGTGCAGGGGGCTTCTCGATCTTCTTCGCCTTCGGTGCTTTGCCGACAGGAGCTTTTCTTGCAACAGTCCGTGGTGCTGTCGTTGGCTTGGGCGATGGCTTCAGCTCTTTTCTAGCGGCCTCGGCAGCCTTTGCTGCTCTGTTCTTGTCATCTACTAGTTTCTTGTGCGTAATTTCTCGTGCAGTTGTAGTCGTAGTTTTCGAAATTACCTTTCTTTCTCTTGGTACTCTAGGAACTGTTGGTTTAACCTGCTTTATTTCTCCATTAACCTCCTTCTTTTCGGTTGGTATTAATTTTCTTGGGCGTTTCTTTAGCTCTGGTGTAGAGGGTTTCTTGGGAGTGGTTGCATCTTCAACTTTGTGCTCAGGTCTCTTAATCTTTCTTATTCTTCTCTCTGGTTTCTTCTCTGCATGTTCTCCTTCCTCCTGCTTTTCTTCGTCTGCTTTACGTTCTTTTCTTTCTTTTCTTTCCAGACTCTTCCTCTCCTTTACCTTCCTCTCTACTCGTGCGGCCCTGTCTTCGGGTCTTGGTCTTCTGTCTCCTGTGTCAATACGGGATTCAACTTTGGGTTTGCGATACCTTTTGGGTTTCTCAGGGGTCCCAGTTTCCTTAATTTTCTTCTCCTTTGGTTTTTCTTTTGGTTTTATTTCTTTTAAGGTTTCAATTTCTAAAGAGGATTCTCTCTCTTCGCCTGTCACCACACCAGACTCCGCTGAGACGAGAGAGGCTTCCTTAACATCTAAAGGTTCTATTTCATGTATATCCTTAATTTCAGTAATTCCTGTAGTTTCTATTCTAGACTTCAAGTCGGTTACAGCAGTTGTGACTTCTACAGCTTGCGTCGTGATTTCTCTTCGTTCAGCTGCATCAACTACATCCTTCTTTGTAATTGCTTCTATCGTGTCGGTAACTGCACTAATTGCTTCTTTGGTTACTGAAACACCTGTAACAGTTTCGGTGATTTCTTGTGTCGTTAATTTGGCTTCGCTGACCTTAGCCTCGTCTATCGCTGCTAAAGACTCGATGGTGATGCCTTCGGTCTTCTCTTTCGTTTCTTCTAGCTCGGTTGCGGCCTTTTCCTCCTTCTTCTCCTCCTTCTTTTCCTTCCGTTCTTCTTTCTTGATGACCTTCTTTTCGATCTTTCTTTCCACTTTCTTCTCCTTTCTGGCTTCTCGCAACACCTTCTCTTGTCGCTCAGATCTTTCCAGCTTGATTCTTCTCCTTTCTTCCCTGCTGATGGAGCGGTCTCCTCTTTCTCTCTTGATTCGGTGTGTGGGAGGGGATGGACTGACTGCTTTGCTAGGTTTAATGTCTGCTGCTAATAATTTGTCTTCACTCTTAATTCTTTCCTCAGTTTTGATACCCTTCCGCTCTTCTATAGCGGCCTTGATAGACTTCGCTGAACAAGTTGTGTGTTTCAAATACTCTAAATTCTTTAATCTTTCTAAGCCTTCAAAGATCTTGTGTTGTGGAGTACTTCCGGGGAAGAGAATTCTGGTAATTGTGTCTGTGGGGTCATTAGGTTGCCATATTAGGAGGGCACATATGGAGGTAACATTTGTGAGTGGACAAGGAAAGACTTTATCACCGATTTTGTAGGTACTTAAACCCATGTCAGATGCGATCACTTCATTGTTCCACCTCTGCATAAACTCTCGAACTTCCTTACTGTCTCTAGAGGGATTTATCACATACATGTCCAATTTGCCATGTCCTACTTTGTGATACAAATTAATTGGTTCCATTGCATTATCACGGAAACACAAATGTGGTTTCAAACTAATTTGTCTGAGATTTTCACGCATAATGTGTCCTTCATCCCAGAGATTAATAAGCAGTGGGTCTCTGTCTTTGTCACCATCGGGAGATTTGATATTACCAGCAACATTACAGAAAATATGTCCAATCTGTGGATACACTGAACTAAGAGCTTTTCTACGAACAACATTAGTAATACCCATGAGATTCGAGCTGTTGAGTCTTGTGACAAGGACGGCATCCAGGCGATCCAGATGCCTTGTGAAATCCCAGAAACAGGCTTTGTAATTATAACCACCGTCCACGAGCATGTTGAAGCCATTGACACCGAAGAGAGCCGAGTCACCTTGTCCACCAGGAAACACATACAGAGTGGGACGAGAGAACCGAATGTTTCCCACAATGTCTGATGGTTCAAGGAGCTCCTCGATTGGTGTGGAGAGAAGGAACTGTGACAGGTACTGGACGAAAGTCGAGATCCCGGGGGTGGTCTCGATCTTGTCGTCTGGGTTGACTGTCACTCGGCATAGTTTGCTGGAAAGAAGTTGTATGTGTTAGCAGTAGGCCTTGCACATTTTCATGTAATGCATGTGATATCTCCCCATGACTATTATTATTCTGAACAGTTGAAAAAATATTTTCATTCAGATCAGCTAATCAGATCATAAATATTGGTTTTGCAGACAAAAATCGCCAAAGAAGACCCATTCTCTGGATTTCGGTATTTTTTCACATTTATTTCATTCAACAGCGAAGGAAAAGGTTTAGTTCTCATTGTACCTAAAAGATTCCTTGGCAAGGTAGCTGGTCGACCAGTGACCTTCTGGGGCGCAGTGAATGTCAATGGTGATGCAGTTCTCGTAGGCATGAAGGACGCGTTGAACTTCATACTCGCTGAAGGCGGCAATAAGGTCAGCCACCGAGAAAGTCCCGTCCTGTAAGAGTTCGAAATGTTGAAGAATCATCCTAGACAGCCCTCTTGCTTTTATGAGACTTAATGTTAAATCAAAATATTTTTTTTTGTCTAATCGATTGTTTAATTGTGTAAATTTGGAACATATCATAACTGAAAAATGTTAAATCAAATATTTGTTCTGTCTATCCACATGTCTAAACATAAGTTTCAAATGGGTAAATTTGGGGTGGAACTAAACAGTTTAGACATAACACTTTCGCTGTCCCTATTATTGCACTGCAGCAATTGCGTTAACATGCTACTGATTGAGCTTCCTACTATAGTTTTCTTTTGGTAGGAAAATAGTCTATGATGGTTGGTAGTTAACACTTTCGCAGTTCTTTGATTTGATTCTAGACATATAAATGGTTGTCATCTTATAGTGTGAGGAAAAATGATCTTATTGTAAGATAATGATAACTTACCTGAGAATTTTGACCTGTTGGTGAGTGACCTTTTTCAATACTACTAATATCTATTCGTTATAAGCAAAATCGTTTTACTTTATTTTATATTGATACGTTATGCTAAATCATTTCAAAGGAAATGTGTGTGTGTGTGTGTGTGTGTGTGTGTGTGTGTGTGTGTGTGTGTGTGTGTGTGTGTGTGTGTGTGTGTGTGTGTGTGTGTTTACGTGCATGTGTGAGTAGCTTTTACCTGTAGCATCCATGATCCAGATCCAGCAAAGGCATATCCGGCATGGATGATGTGTCTATGTTTGGTGAATGAAGAGAGGAGGTTCTTGAGGCACTGTTGCAGAGTGTTGACTTGGGGGTGGATCAACACCTCTGCGACCAGATTCTCTGTAGCATATTGGATCAACCTTTCTCCTGAAAAACAAGTTAAATTCTCAGATTCAACGTTCTCAGGCTAAGAATAATAACATAATTCCCTGCGCTTCTTATAATATGCAAATATGAAAATGACACACAACACGAAAAATAAACGTTATCCACAGCCACACTAAGGATACCAACACTTTATTAAATAAGCAGATATAAAACATACAAATAGCTTATACCACCCAATGCTTCTTGCTCAACAGAAAACGGTTCCATGACACTCACCTCCCTTCTGTTCTTCTCCTTCGAGGTTAAGTTCGGCAATAGTTGTGAGTTCCTTGTGGATGTCGACGTGTGCTTTCTCTTCATCCCAGGATAGGAACCCTGAAGGATGGAATATGCATTAATATGTATATATTAGTTGTATTAGTAGTTGTTTCCAATACGTAATCATACAGTGGGGAAAGATACGCTATTTATTAATGTTTTGTGAAGAAATAGGGACAGTTCTATACGCATACACAATAATAAGGAAATAAAGATATTAGAGAACTAACAGATTCCTATTGATCATATATACTCAGATCTAACGATGAAATACAAGATGTTCTTTATTGGATATCTACCCTTACACAAGCTATTTATATATATTAATGACATTCAACAGTACTTCATTACAATCTTTATTGATTTGATATATTCATTCATTTATGTATTTATTCATTATTATTATTATTACTTTTTTGGGATAAGTATAGCATGATGCCCCATTCACAACCGCCACGGCAGCGGGTGAGGCCCGAAACAGCTGCCGTGGAAGTCGGTCCTGCCGTTTTAAGCGCGGCGAGACTAATCCCGGAGCGGCCGTCGCCTTAAAGCTGCCAGCTCCTTCCGCCATGCCCCCCCCCCCCCCTGTTCGTTGGGTTTCTTGTCCTCAGAGAAGTAACAGCTGTTTTTTTTTTTCTCTCTCTCTTTTTGTATGCATGCTTTTTGTGTTTGTTGACGATCGTTGTTTTTTGTATGTATTCTTTTAAGGAGATACATTCAGGTGATTCACTGCTTTGTTTACCTCTGCGCATTTTAAAAGTGTTCAAGGATGCTACATGAAATTTTGGGTTTAGTCCCTGGTAGCTTTAAAATTGCCCCTTAAATTCAGACCGCGCCCTCGGCAAACAAAGAAGCACGGAGGCAGGCAGGTTTCGCTGGACAGACCGACCAACACGACCTTCGACCGATCCCAGACAAGCACGGCGAGAAAAATTCAGTCGCCCGTTTATCTCCATAGACGAACTAAGGAACACGACCTCCACCGCAGATCCGCGACAACCTATATATGGCCAGTGGGGGAAGGGGTGGGGGGGAGATGCGGGTGTTCATTGGCCTAATGCTCCACTGGTCAGCTTTGCCACGGCACCCGGGGAGGCCATCGATGTGCGGCAACGGCACAAAGCTCGACGCTAATGAGAAAACAATGCTTGTATTTTGTATTTGCTGCGGCGTGGAATTCTGCTAATGCTTGCTTCTGTCGGACTGGTTGACTGGTTATTCTGGTGTATTTTGGCGAGATTTGATTCTGATTTTATTTTTGTATTAGTTGAATCTTTATAGTTCCGCTTCATGACGACAGCTTTGAGAAAACATTTTTTGGGGGTTTGAAATGTTACAGATCTATTTTGCTCTTCTACTTTCTTTACTCTTTTCTCTCTCATACTCACCTGTTCTCCCCTCCTCTCTCTCTATTCTCTCCCTTTTACTCTCTCTCCATTTCTCTCTTCCTTTCTCTTGAGAGAGAGAGAGAGAGAGAGAGAGAGAGAGAGAGAGAAAAGAAATAACTCAGCGTCTTGATCTCGGCCAGGATCGAAGGAGGCGACACGAGCGTCTTGGCGTCGAGACGAGACCGAAGTACCTAACAATAACAGTCTTCCCAGCGGTTCTCTCGAGGATCTTGAGACGGTGCGCTACGAGAGACAAGGGGATTACCTCATGAAAGGAACTTCTCTCTCAGTCACGACCGAGCCAGATAAGAGCAGGGCCAAGACGCTTCTTCAACACCTCCTCCTGTCCTTCTCCTTCGTGTTCTTCTTCCCTCCCTTTATTTCTACTGGTTAAGTCATCGTTGTTATTGTTATTAGTGGTCTCGTTGTATTCCGCATTTCTCCATTTCTTCTCATTTGTTTTCTGATGTGTAGGGGTATTCAATCAACACAGAATTTGTAATAACTTCGTTTCGGATCTTTATTTAGTCAGGGCTCTTTCGAGGATATTTTTGGTGGGTATCTTACTGTAATGATCCGATTAGATTTGGAGCCTAGTTGGCAGAATCAGTAAACAGGAAACAAATTATATAATCATAGGAAGAGTGAGAGTAAAACATCGTGATAAAAAGGGGGCGAGGTCAGTGTATTAACTTCGTTCATTTCGTACACTTTGTTGGTCGAAACTTTATGACCGAGTAATTACATGAAAAAAACGACACATATACTAAACTGAAGTTCTTTGATTAGCATTAATAAAGTATGCATCTCTGTATAACCTAAGACAAAATCCCACGGTTTTCCTCGGCATTCTGCACTCTCTCTCTTGACATTTATTCCTCGCCTTCACTCCCTTGGGCAACATGGAACCTAACCTCTTCCTCTGCAGCGATATAAAAAACAGACTACATGACATTCTTGTGTGCACTCCACATGCCTTATCTCGGCTCTCTCTTTCTGGAAGACTCTGAGAACCTCTGCCAAGACCCTCTGGAGGACAGGCCTCTTGGTTTCACAGAAAAAGAAGGAAGCTCTCCCTCTCTCTCTCCTCAAGACATGTACAAAGAGAAGGTCATTATCGTAGATTAAGACGAAAATTTTTATCTTTACAGAGCTTTCGTTTTGTCTAAAGTAACGAGACGTTTATATTCTCATTAAATGAACTGGATGGAGGGGGGAGAGAGAGAGAGAGAGAGAGAGAGAGAGAGAGAGAGAGAGAGAGAGAGAGAGAGAGAGAGAGAGAGAGAGAGAGAGAGAGAGAAGAGAGAGAGAGAGAGAGAGAAAGAAGGGGGGGGGGTACGAGAGTGAGAGAAGGGGGGAGAAGAAAGAGAGATAGAGAGAGAGTAATTTCACCAGTTTTTTCATACGGTTCAGATACAGCAGATTTCTACTAATTACGCGCATGTTCTTCATTGTTGGTTACACAATGATTCTTTTATATTTGTAAACGATTGTTGTGAAATTTCTATTACATCAATGGAAAAACAAAAAACAAAAATGATTTATAGCTTAACAAAATAAAGAACGAAACAGGAAAAAAAAGATAAATATTAAAGCCTGTGGCTAGAAATACTAAATCCTAATTGGCATCAGGACTTGAGAAGAGAGACCTGTGTGGGGGTAAGAGTGAATTTTATTTACTCAGATTTTATCTACTTGAGCATAGCTGCAATTCCACCGTAGATACTGAGGGGACTTAATAAGCAAATATGTGCATGATTGAAATAAAAGTGATTGAGAGGGAGGAGGGCGAGGGTTGGATAGTTTGTTTGCAGCAGTTGAAAAAATGGCAAAAAATAGCAAAGTTAACAGGAACAGACAATGAAGAGCAGGAATCATTAACAAGAAACAAATAAAAAAAATAAGCTGTCTTCAGTTAGAATCAGCAGTTACTCGACCAATGATCAAAGCTATATCTTCTAATTTATTTAAAGAATTAAAGAAACCAAAGCAAGGCGAGTTCTAACCTCATTTTCGCAAGATGATAATGCACGGCCCGCATAACCCTTTCCATTGCAAGATACGCGAGATAAAATCCTGTAATTAATATGCTAGACACCGTCAAACCCTAAGAGCTAATTATGCTCTGACAAAGCATTTGGATTACAGTCAGGAATTCCACTAATTAAAGCCAGTCACGAGAAGCAAAACAGAAGTTCCTGTCTTTAAAATAAACCGGGGAGGCGTTCATTTCAGACTTTCGAATGCAACGTCGGTTTAAACAGACACCGACAGCAAACAAAAGGAGAGTGAAGTATAAAATTACTTGAAATAGCGTTCATAATGTTGTTTTTTTAGTTACGAACACCAACAATACTTTTTTTTCACAAATTGCAGACAGTAAAGTGAACCTTCTCATTGAATAATCATTATCATACATAAATTATATCCTTAGCATATGGTAATCTATCTTTTATTTCACATCGATTATGCAGTTACTACACCACGTTACATTTTCAAATCAATTGCTCCATTACTAACACATCTTACGAGAAAACCCGCAAAGAGCAACGGAGTGCGAAGTGTTGCCAACTCAAAGAACTCCCAATTTCCCGAAGGCGGCGAGGTGGGCGCGACGGGCTTGGGGCGTGTTATCAGCCCTCACCTCCAGGCCTCGCGCTCACCCGGGCGGAAGTGGCCCCTCCTTTCACCCGCGCAGTTCACCCGCTCCTCTCGCTGGGAAATGATAAGAAGCCGATACGAGGGCGGGTCGATATTTTCGTAAAACATTGCTTGGGGAGTGCGGTGTATTTAATCGTTAGAAGGGCTTACTTTGGTCGCTCGTTTAATTATGGGGAGCACTGTTTAAGAGAAAGGGAGAGGGTAGTTTCATTTACATTATGAATGACGGTAAAATAATCTTGTGGTGTATTTAAAAGAAGAATCACATTCAAATACAGACACACTGCTTCATTTAATCTAATACTACAGACACAGATGCAAACACGCATATATAGATATACAGAGAGAGAGAGAGAGAGAGAGAGAGAGAGAGAGAGAGAGAGAGAGAGAGAGAGAGAGAGAGAGAGAGAGAGAGAGAGAATTAGGGAAAGAGAAAGATTCAGAGAAAGAGAGGGAGACTCTAAAAATATAACCACCAAAATCTGGTTATTGAGCTGGAAGCATCCCACCCGAAATAAAATACAGCTGTTAGTGAGTCTCACTCTGTTAACACCTCTATATCCAGGGACATTAAGGTCGCCTTTAGAGCTGCTCTGAAGGGCCATAATGGTGCATTGCCTGTTCTTCCGGTTAGATGCACGGAGGTAATGAGACCCTGGAGGGGGGTAGGGAGAGTAAGGGAGCTCGGAATATCACCACTGGAAAAGAAGCAGATATGTGTTTGTTTCAGACATGGGAGACCTGGGGGACTTTAACGGGAGAGGAGTAATAGGGTTGGAACTCTACGGACGATTGGAGCCGCATTTCACTATCAAACCGATGTTATAAATTCATTCCATTAATTAATAAATACAAGCTATATGTGCGGACAAACACGCACACACACACGCGCACACACACATATATTCCTTCCATAACGATGTTTCTTTTAGTACATTTATATTTAAAAATATAGACAGATACAAAGAATAAGATATATTTGTGGCGTTTACGTATTCTTCTGCACAG